GTAAAAAATAAAGTCGAGCTCTCGCGGAGATTTATTATGAATTATTGACACTGGGAATGCAGGATATTTTTGCGTGGAAACGAAGCTCGTATAATTAGCCAGCTTGCGTACGAAAGCTAGCTTACGTACAAAAATGTAAACGCGCGATTGAACCGAATGACAAAATTCATTTCACCGTCCTCAACTTTCAGCCAGCTTACACATGTTTATCGTCGTTAAGGAATTACTACGATTTCGTTACCGTATTTTCGCCGGCGATTCTGTTCTTACGTCACACAGGACGAAGGTAAAATTGCAAACAGAGCAAGCAATAGCAGCTGCGGATTGAAACTTCGTAAAACTCCGACTCTCGCTGTTAACAGTTCTCCGTTGTCGGCTAATTTTCCTACGGACGCGGCGGTGTATTGTAAGAACGAACTCACTTTCAACTAATTATCCGAACGATAATTACATTCGACGACGAACAACTTTTCGATAGCGGATGTACGTCGATGCTTCTCCATGAGGGAATTATTTAATTGCCCGAGATTACTATTAATTAGCGGATTTTCCGGGATCTATTAGCCAGCGAATAACTCGGCAAAACAATTCCGTTAATACACGGCGCACGCACCGTAACTATTCACTCGCCTGCTAACACCGCGGAGTTCAGAAACCAAAAGGTAGTTCGGCAAACCGCATTCGCAATAGACCGACGATACTTTACTGCGGATTATGAGGCAAAAGCGAGATGAAATATTTTTGTTCGATGGAATTCACGTATTCATGTTCAACGTTTTAGATTTTTCATTAATAATACGGTATAAATAATAAAATTCATTTCCTAACTAGAACGTTTATAAATGAAAATATAATACAATACTAGCGAATACAGATGTTTGAAANATGGAATTCACGTATTCATGTTCAACGTTTTAGATTTTTCATTAATAATACGGTATAAATAATAAAATTCATTTCCTAACTAGAACGTTTATAAATGAAAATATAATACAATACTAGCGAATACAGATGTTTGAAAACTAATTTATCAATTAATAGCTAAGTTGCAACCACACACAATACAAACTAATATAATTGTTTGGGAAGTTGTTTCGTTTTTCATAAAAATTTCATTTTGTAAGGATGTTAAAAAAACACTTGATTCAGTATTTTTCCAAATGTTAAACAATAAGATTTCAAAGCTATCAGAAAAATGTCGAAAAGTTTGCTTTTACTCGTAACATTTTCTCGCGGAAGAACGAAACAACTTTCCAAACGACCTAATAATAACTAATTGAGAACGAATTAACAACGATTTAAGTACACGAGTTACGGAGCACAAAAGATAGCTGTTTTATATTAGTTTGGAAAAGTAACAATAAAACATATATTCTGATTTTTAACGATTGTTATTGTAACATTTGCCGTGTATAACATATTCATTGAATAAATAGCTCATAAATGTATCTTTACGATATTAATAACCGTAAATTAAAAAATTAGTGATCCGTCATTTTAATGGGTTTGTGTAAATCTAGTGTTAAGTTGAGAAAACAATAGCACTGTGTAAAATAATAATTTTACATTTCGGTCGTTTTAAATTGAGCTTCCTCGAAATCGTTCAGCCATGTTAAAATTGTCTATTGTTCTTTTCTGTTATTACAATGGTCTGTTAAGTACCGCAGTTTTGATATTTAACGAAATAAGTGAAATAAAATGGAGCAGAAAATATTTGTTTCGCACACGACAGAATTTTTAATAAATTCCATTCCTGATCAACGTTACAATTATTGTGACTGTTACGAAATAGTCGTGCAAAGGGTTAATAATTAATAACAATGAAACGAAATTATACATCGTGAACCAAATATTGAATTAGCCATCTGCATAGTTTCTTTTTCATTTCGGAGGTACTTATGGAATGGTAGTTTTGACCGCTTTCGGGTGGCTTTTGGCCATAGTGCGGCGAGGCGCATCCCCCGAAACGAGCATTCCGGAGGAAGTGCTCAGGATTTTAGTGATCGGGCTTGCCGTCGGTTATTCGGGAGCGGGACCGATTCTCTCGTCTATGCATCTAATCCGTCGCCGGAGCGAGCAGGTAACTGATAGAATCCCCTCATTTATCCAAATCCGACGGATAATCCAATCTGGAATTCAAATAAGCTCCGCTGCGCCGGCTGTTACCGGGGACCCGGGGAAACAGGCCGATCCGGTCTCGAGTCATCGCGACGCTGAACCGAGGTCCGCCGAAACAGTTTGCGACCGGCAGAAATCGACGTCTCGCGAGCACTCCGGACCCGAGCCGAGTCGTCGAGACGACGGACGTTCGAGCGACGCCTGGCGACGTTCCATGCCCCTCGTAATAAGCGCCGAAGAATTCGTTCAAATTAAATTCCTGCCTCCTCTTTTTCGTTTGTCAGCCAGCGCATCCCTTCGACTCTCTTTCTGCCGGCCCCTTCCGCCGCTCCTCTTTCGAGCCTCGCCGCTTCATTTGTACAGGGTGTTCGATTACAAGCGCTGAATATTTCAAGACTGGTTCTACAATGTAGATTCGGTTCAATCGGTGCGGGTTCGCCGATGGATTCGGGCCTTGAACCAGATCGAACGCGGTCAGACGCCTTCAAACGGAGGATTCAAGGCTTGAAATACGATCGCGACGCGCGAACTGCTGTTACTTCGTGAAAAACTATCGAACGACAGTGTTTCTGAACTCATTTTAAAGAACACAATCTCTACTTTAAAATAACATAGCTGTTTTTATCGAGGTCATTTCCTGTATCAGCAAAATTAATACGATTAACAACGCATGAACGACCAACATTCGAGGCCCATAAAATCTTCACTGAAAAACTGACGATGTTCGATCCGCTGTAACTTTGTGAAACAAAATCTGTGAACATCGCGTCTAGGCTCATCCGAGAGTGTAAAACTTGCACTTTAAAATACCGTAGCTCCCTTTCTCGAAAGAATCTTGAAATCGGCGAAATTAATAAAATTAGCAACACATTGCCGATCAAAGTTGAAAACCCAGAAAATCTAGAAATAAAAAAAATAAATAAATAAAAAAAATCTGAAAATTCGATCTGCTGTAACTTTGAGAAAGCACTCTTCTTCGCTAAAGATTACTCGGAACTCGTACTCGCTAGCGTGGAATTGAGCAAGCATTTTCCTGCGTTTGCATTAATAATGAGGATCTGCGTCGTGTACAAGGCGGATCACTCTGTATGTGCATTATTGGTAAATGCCGCGTGCTTAAGCGTCTTTTTTTTTCTCGTCGATATTCAATACCGAGCACGGAATTTCTTGTACGCGCCCAGTTTATTCGCGCGGCTGTTTAATGCACTTTAGGTGGAAGATGGTCGGGCGGCGCGAGAAACCGCGAGATCGCGAGGATTCCACGCGTTTCCGGTAATGGGGCGCGGATGCGCGCAGGAATTTTTTAATATGCGGTATTTGATCGGGCCGCGTTCATTGGCACGTGAACTCTCGCCGGCCGGGTATTGAACTGACACGTCCAACAGGTGAAAAATAGATTGTTGTTCTTATTTTAGTCACGGTTCAGGGTGCACGGGCTGTCTGGCATGGCTGAGAGCGAATTCATAAATCGCTTGAAAAACGTTCGGTCTCCGCAGGATCGTATTCACGAAAGACAATTCCTGATAATCCCCGGAGAACGTTAATCTATGCATTCCAATAGCCGTTTACTTCGCATTATTATGTCGCATTTATCGAACATCCTAAGATGGACCTTTATGCGCTAATAGCTTCCCAAAAGCTCGCCAAAGTGAAATATAAATTCGGTAAAAGCTGTATTAATATTCCATGAATGAAGGGGCCTTTAAGGATACATGAACAGTTATTATCGAATTCATTTAGATGTTCCATTAATAGATGAAATATGAATCGGAGGTCTATTTATGAGCCACTCGCATCCCCTTTTACACCGTCCTTAACAAATTGAAATTGATCAGCACGCCGACGATTTTAGCACACTCTTCCTGCGATGAAAATAAAATTATATCATATTCATGCCGAATATACAGGGTGTCCCAATATTATTGTACAAGCGAGAAACGAGGGATTCTTGAGATTATTTGAAGTAACTTTTTCCTTAGGGAAAATGCAATTCGCGGCTTTGTTCGCGAATTATTAACGAAAATAAAACTGACCAATGATGGGAAACCTCGGCTGGCGCGAAGCGGTCGAACCAACGAGCGATCGAAGCCCAGTTCCGCCCATTAACCGCCACGCGCCAGTTAATCTCGCCTCTCATTGGCTCGCTGTTTTTCGCTAATAACTCGTAAACAAAGCCGCGGTCTTCAACATCGCTGAGGAAAAAGTTACTTCGAATGACCCCAGGAACCCATCATTTCCCGCTCGTACAACAATTTTGGGCCAGCCTGTACAAGTTTCGTAGTCTATTAACAACTCAGGAAATAGGACATATAATTCCAATATCCTCGAGCGAGTCGGCTGATACGGGAGACCCGCGCGCAGCCCCTCCGTTTATTTACGGCAACCCTAAACAGGGGTGTGCCGAACTCGCAGAAGCCAATACGAGCGACTGTGGACGACGTTTGAACGACGCGGAGCTCCGGAAGCAATAATTTTTATCACCGCAGAGCAATCTGAAGTTCTATCGCGCGAGGGATCGAACTTTAAATACTTGCCATCGTTTTCCTCTCCCCTCTGCTATCCCCGGAAAGATGAAACTGTGTCGCGCCGCGTCCCCGGAGACGTTAAGGAGCGACTCTCGAGCGAAGTAACTTCTCGGGTACCTTTTCATCAAACTCCGTCTCGGCTTTCGCTTTTTCGATTTTTGTTTCCTTCCTGCCAGCTCCCGGCCACCCCCTCGGCGAGGGGGGAGAGGCCCCCTCCCGACGATCGAGAGGGAGCCCGGGCGGGGCCAGGACGGCAACGTTTTCTTGACGTTCCTGTTGCATGCCAGTCGCGTGTGATTCATCGGTGTAATTTGCTTTTTCCTGGCTCTAATGCGGATCCGATTCCTCTCGTTGCAGCATCCACCGTGAAACAAAACGGGCCCGAGGTCGATGACTCGAAGCACGACGTCGACGGGGTTACCACGGCCTTGGTGCAATATCCGGACAACCTGAATCTCCGCGATCTTTACTACTACATCCTGGCGCCTACCTTGTGCTACGAGCTGAACTTCCCACGGACGCAACGGATTCGGAAGAGGTAAGCGCCGATAATACGATCAAAACCACTGTCGAATGATTAGACCACTGATTTATCGATTGATTAGGTCAACGGAGAATTCATTGCTTAAAACTGAACGAGAGATTTGTTAACACTAGATTGACCAAGGAAGTCATTTTGACTGCTTTTTCATTTCAATTAGAAAACAAATTATGTATATAATGTTACAATTTCTTAGAATTTTGGGACTTTTTGTACAACATATAAATGCGTTTATTAATAATTGTAGTTACCTCCCCTCCTTCTTCATTCCCGGTATATATATGTGTTATACCTATATTGCCCAAAAGCAGTCGTTTTGACTGCTTGGAAAATTTAAAATAATCAAATGACTCTTATTATTGAATTGAGTAAATTTCTTTTATGACAAGTTCGGCTCTCTGTTGAAATAACATTTTTCATTTTTTTCGATTACCGTTACATGATAAATTGTAGATTTGGGCATATACCAGATAAGTTGCAGTCGCTCAATAAGCTAAAGTAGTACTTGTTATTTCTATCCTTATGTTATTCGTATCTTAAATTTTTTTATTGTTAATATTTAAATAATATAAAAAAATATTAAAAATTAATTTTAAACAAATTTCTTTACACATTAGTTATTCTTTCACAATGCAGACATTTTCACTGCTTTTGGGCAATATAGGTACATACTAAGTTTCAGTCTTTGCAGAATAAAGTAGTGAAAAATATGAGACAAAAGTAGACTGCGAATCTGCGTGTACAATAAAAAATGGCCGCATCAGTTGCAAAATACAGCAGCTGTATGGAAATACGTTTGTTCCTTTGAAACGGTTAAATAGTTGAAAATAGTGTACCGATGTTTTTATATTCAGAAAATTATATGTTGCCTATTGTCTGCTAATTATTGTGTGTTGGCTAAAACATAAGAAACTAATTAAAATTTTATAGTACGCCTGGCCAATGCTGGTTTGTTCTACTAACGAGAGAAAATAATAGAGACCGAGTGGAACTTTATAACATTTCTCGGCAATATTGTTTCATTTCGCTAACGAGATAAAATAATAGGTCCTGGTTGGGACTGTACAACGTGCATGACCAATAACGTTTCAATCTACTAGCCTGGTAAAATAATAGGGATCGACTGGGACTTCGTGGCGTGTTCGACCAATGTATGCCCATTCAACTAGCTACGTGAAATTGTTTTGATTAAGTGGGACTTTGTAGTATGTCTGGCCTGTGTCTGGTAATTCTACTTGTTCTTACTTTATACTTCGCGATCTTCGAACAGCTGTAACTCCGATAAAAGCTGTCATAAAATTACAAATTTTTTCTCAAAATAAAGCTTGAAATCTCTACTTCATGACGACATGTTCTAATTTTTACCACCATGCATCTACATGAGCGTAATATCAAAAATCTGGAAGTATGTTTGTGATACCGAAAAAGTGCAAGAGATTTCACGCCCTCTATGAACTTGGAAAATTTTTTTCCGAGCATGCCATTCAGAATATCGTAGAACACGGACTTTCCCCTTTAATTTGAGAGCCGAATTAAGTCGCTACGATTTTTTCTCGTAAACTCGGAGCACTTTAAATGACAAATGTACCACCGGCATTAGAATAACCCAAGGTAGGGGTTACCTCCTGAGGAAATTGCACGATTAGACTTGTAGCTCACGCAATGCATGATATTAAAAATTGCAATATGATATCGTAAAGTAGAGATTTCAAACTGTTCGGAGATCGACAATCTTTCAGCCAAAAATTAGCGATGCTTTAATTTTGCTGTTGTGTGTAGATTTCCTTGCGAAATAAGAGTCTCTAATTATTCGATTAAATTACCAAAAGAAGATAAGATCATAATAGAAGATAAAACTTCGCTTTACTTAATCGCGGTACACGCGTAATTGATACTGCTGTCTAAAGCAGGTAATCGTTCGCGCGAACGATGTTCTGTGTGCACGTACGTATCGAAGCACTTCGGGGAAGGTCTCTTCTTTTTCGCTCGGTTTCGGTCGCACGCAGCTCCATTCGAAGGAAAACGGGAGAGTAAGGCAAAGTTGGCGAGCCGGAGTGTTCGCGAAATTAGATTTAAGTGGGCTATTGTTGGGAAAATAGAGGAGGGTACGTTTGGATGGACTCCGCCGGTGCACGGGTTGAGGCAGGGCGGTGCAGAGGGCACAGTGATGTATTCCTTTCCGTGCTTCCGGCTGGTACTTCCGATTGTATCCGGAATACCAGAGATTTTCATGGAACACTTTCCTCCGTCTACGCGGACGTATTTTCGCGATGCATGGAGCCCTGGGTTTGTCGGAAAGTGCATCGTGTCTGTCTGGCCGACATTTCTTGCCACCGGCAGTTGTTCGCTTCGAAAATCCCCGGGAACAAATTGCGCCGGAGAAGGAACGTCATATCCCGGGACTCCTCCCCTCCTGCCCCCGCCGAACAACCGCGTGTTTACGGATTTTTCCTCTTGACGAAGTTTTTCGGAAAAAAGCGCGCGACCGCGCCGCGATTTTTCAGCCGGCCGCATTAACGGTGATGCATCGGTGTCTCCATTCGGGAAATTACGGGACGAAGAATTTCCTGTTTGATTTATAACCGGCGCGTCACGAAGTTCGGTATTGCTTCTTTATTATCGTGCAACAATGTGCACGGAGTTGATTTTCTGCGGCGCGGTTTCGTAAAATATGACTTCGGAGTTTTGAGATCTACCTTTTCCTTTTTCTCACGTTGACCCGCCCGTCGTTTCTCTTCGTTGCGTTTTATTAAATGCGGCCTAGCTGTTTTCCGCGGTGTGCAAGAAATAATTTGACGAAGAAAAGTCGTGGAGAATCTACGGGTTACGTTCCACGGTAAGTTCATATCAACTTTCCGCGACATGCTTCGCTTTGTTTCCTTTCCGCGGGCAATGGAAGCTCGTTCGAGGCCATTAGCATTTTTAATGTAAGTGCCTGAACTCTCCGGGCAAGTGCCTTGATATTCGCGATGAAAAAGTGTAGTCTTTGCGAGGCATTTAATTAGGTCCAATTAAGGGGATTAGACTCTGTTTGTTTTCATTCGCCTCCATCAACTTTCGACGAACTTCATTGCCGGTGTACAGGTGGGATGCTTCGGAACCGGGCAAGCCCGCGCTTTAATTTAGTATGCAACTGCAGTACTTCCGGCCATAATTCTCCGTCCGCTGTTGCATAGCCGAACATGTGGATTTTTCAAGTAGATTTTATATGCAGCTTTTTAAATGGAACAGTCCGGTTCAATTCGCTTCGTAGTGCGCGCAGACTACCAGCAAATTTTATTAACAGAATGTAATATGTGGGAGAGTATGCTCTGCACTCCGCGGATCTACGCGCAGCGACCCCGTCATGATACACAATTTTCATCTGGATGTATTAGTCTCCCCGAGTTGGAATTCGTATGCGACACATTGTGCGTGCCACAGAAAAAAAATAATCATTCCGAGAAACGTCGGGTCGCGATAGCGAAAATTCGAACGAGATAATACGGCCTTTCGGAATCATTGAACTATGAACGTTGCGTGTAAATATTGTTCACTCGTATCGTCGAGTGTCGAATAAACACCGATTATCGGTGTTATTGAAACCACAGGTGTGTAATATCATCATCAATTCGGATTTACGCACCTAAATCTCCCGATAGCTGTTATTACAGCGGTTTCATCCCGCAGCTATTGTTTTCTAAACTCGCATAATTTGACATCGATCGCTTGTTTACGAACAATTTTAGGCGCGCACCGAATCATTAATTTTGATTGATGCGTTGCGAAATTGTTGTTTCTTAGCAATTCGGCTGAAGAATAAGTGCAGGAATTATTGTTTTGCGAGAAGATCTGCGATTTGATAATCGAATCAAAATTGTTTCGTGTAATTGTACTCATTATTAGCCATTATTGTTAATCCGTTGTCCGATAATATCGTGTGAGACCTGTTACGAAGATTTAAAAAACAGTCTGCTAAATACGAATGACTAAATATGACTGATTTAACGAAATATAAATTCAGACTTGTTCTCCCGATTTATACTATAATCCACTAAATATGAGTTCACTTCATCGAGGTCGAAATAAAATTCTACGCTTCTGTAATCAATGTTTATACATTAAAATAAAGGTTGACACGCAATAAATATAAAATATTGGAATACAATACGATACAAAATAAAAAATAAAAACAATAAATATAAAATAAATATAATATATTGGAAATAAAAGAAAGAATACATATTCTTGTTGCTTTTTAAATTGAAAAAATGAATTGTTTTGTCCCCGAAAAAGATTTGCAATGCACGGAAAACCTGTGCATCGGCAAATAAAAGGAACACGCATGATCTCGGTGCTTGAATTCAATTGCGAAAATAAATCTTCGTCGAAAGACACGTGATTTTGAAATTTCACGTACCGCATCCACCGGCGGCGGTCCAACACCGGGCTTAATAACCGCGCGAGACTGACAGCAATTTTTGTTTCCTTTCCGCAGATTCTTGATTAAACGCATTCTGGAGGTGGTGGTCGGCTGCCAAGTGGTCCTGTCGTTGTTCCAGCAGTGGATGGTGCCGTCCGTGAAGAACTCCCTGGTCCCGTTCAGCGTAAGTGTTTCATTTAGCCGTGCTCCTCGAGCACCGTATGAAATCCCGCCACGGAAATTTCATTACGCCTCATGAACCGACCGCCCCCGTACATCATCGAAAACAATTTTCCACTTTCCTATCCGTGGAGGCCGGGAGCGCGGCATCGTGGCCGGCGCTCGTGCATCATCCGTTTATCCCTTTCACTTCGAGCCAGGGGAAATAAATAATAACCGATCGGTGCCCCGGGTCGATACATCGATAGATCGCGCGGACGTTATTAAAGGGGGCTAATTATTTATGGCGGTGCTCGTAAATAAGTCGGAGCTGGCGAACGAAAATGGCTTCTAAGATAGAGAGAGCAAGCGACAGAGAGAGAAAGAGAGAGAGAGATAGAGAGAGAGAGAGAATGAGAAAGCGAGAGAGAGAGAGAGAGAATGAGAAAGCGAGAGAGAGAGAGGGAATGAGAAAGCGAGAGAGAGAGAGAGAGGCTGGCGTACAGAAGTGTAATTTGGTTTCGGCAAATAGGTACGATCAATCTTTCTCCTAATTCCCCGACTCGGGCCACGATACGCAGGAATATATGGCCGGCAGGAGCCACCCTGTCTCGGACAGGATCTCCACCCCCATTCGACTCCGACGCCCTCTTCCCGCCGCAACACCCACGCCTAATGATGTGTGGCCACGCACGACACACAATAATAGCCCTGACGAGCCATTGCTTTTTATCTCGCAACCTGTTAAGCGACCCATCTACCACCCTCGCTCCCGTTTTTCTTCTTTCTTTTTTTTTGACGGACCCCGGATCATTTGTTATACCCGAAGGCCCCCCCGTTCGCCTCTGTGTTACGCCGTATCGCGGACACCGCCGGTATAATCAGCGGCGGACAGTAAATATTCGGGATAAGCCGGGACAATTTGGACGGGACGCAACTTCCGAGAACGCCGCCGAGGCGATCGCATCTGTTGCTGGCCGTGCTGCCGCGGCTCTGAATAACGCTGCTCGAGCGTGAACGATAAAAATGAATGTCCAATGGAGGGTGACAGACGAATATGTGGGAAACGAGGGACGGGATGATACTCGCGGAATCCACGAACGTATGACTCCGGTCCGGAATTATCTAGGAACTGGGATGCCTCTCTGGAAGAACGCTGCTGGGACCCGCGACGAAACTGTGGGCAACGCTCGACGGGATTTTTTTCTTTCGATATTGTTTGTTTCATTCGGATCAGATTATTTTGCAGATGAAGTTATTCTATTCTTGTTTGTTAGATGATTAAGTCATAGCTTTCTTTTTCTAGAAGAATGCAAAGTCTCCGTGACGTCGAGAAAACGTGTCAGCAAGCCTCGCTCTAATTTAACCCCTCCTTGAACTGTCTGACTCAGTGTTGATTTATTCTACTCGTTCGAAACATGGATAAGCATCCAATGAATTTTTATATTGCTTATTAAATGCCTAAGTCACTGTTATTTTACAAATGTGTAAGTTTGCCAAGTGGTTTGAAAAATGTGCTCATTAGCTTACGGGTCCGAATAATTGCTGACCTATTCTACTTATGCGAAGCATGGATAAGTTCCCAATGAATTTTGCTTAATCAATTTGCTTTTTAAATGCTTAAGTCACGATTATTTTAGAAACGTATGAATTCTCAAAAATAATTGAAAAATGTGCTACTAACCCATGCTGGTTATCCTTTCTGACTAATTTCTGACCTATTCTACTTATCGCGGGCTTTGATAAGTTCCCGATGAACTTTTGACATCCATCAAATTGGAAATAAAATTTTCTAGCAAACATATAACCGACATAGTCTTTCATCGTCGATCTTGATTACTAAAGTATTATATCAATAATAACGTGTCTCCTGTATAAAATATTAAAACAATTAATTACAGCAGAGTCTTGGCCTCCATAAAATCGTACTTAAGTACAATGACTTAGTTTATTATTATTATTATATCTTCATACAAAACAAAAATTGTCTAACACAATCCTATGAAGCCAAAATTAAATAGCAGTGTATTTTTCTTATAATAATTTTAACAAACTGCTTATTATAAATTATGTGAAATAAATGAAATTAATTCGAACGACGTAATCGATATAAATCAAAATTGTTATCAGGCCAACTCAGAATCCAACTTTAACCCCATAGATCTGATTTGTTAATTCGTTAGAACAGCAAACGTTCTGAACTTAGAGTGCGGCGTTTCGATAACGTCGATTGTATCGAGTATCTGCGAGAGCGCCTCGAAGTATATTTTCGCGTGCGTATTGTCGTCGCGGAGACAACGGGGCTCGAGATCGCGGGCTCGCAATTAAGCTCGTTTATCCGCGTCGATGGAGCGATCTACTTGTTGCCGTGTTATCCGAAGTCGGATCGAAACGTCGAATTACTTCCAGCGGGCGAGTCGTATGGAAGCGATGGACGGGGTTTTCGCGAAGTTCGGCTGTCCTTCCACGGACCGCACTAATTTAGACGAGGTTCTAATGTCGCGAAATTGTTTTCCATCAGCGGCCGAGCACGAAAGGGCGAGAGCGTCGCGATAAAGACAACGTGATCCCGTGCACGTAATGAGTCGACGGCAATTTCGTGTGCACGCAGTAGAAATTGCCGTTGCGCGACCGGCGATTGCGGTTGAAGACAACACGAACGTCCCGAGAAACGAACCTGCTGACATTTCTGTTGCTCTCTCTCCCTCTCCCTTTCTCTCTATCTCCCTTTCCCCCTCTCTCTCGCTTTTATTTTGTCTCTGGCTCTCCCTCTATTATTTTGTCTCTGACTCTCCCTCTATTATTTTCTCTCTAATTATCTCTCGCTCTTTCTCACTCTCTCTCTCTCTCTCTCTCTCTCTCTCT